TTTTATATTCCTTTTTAAAATAAAAATTAAAGATATGCCAGAAATATATTTATTTTTCCATACTTGTCAAAAACAAAGCATAAAATGTAACCTGTTTACAAATGGCAAAGTATTGCTGCTAATCTAAGTTTAAATGTGGTGCTGTCAAGATGTTGCTAATTCAGAACATATTCACTGTACAACTTAATGTTTTTTATAATACATACAATGTGGCAACACAGAGGGAAATCTCCTGTGGAAGGTACTGACAAAAAAGTCATATCTGCATTCTTTTTTACCTAACTTTGTTTTAAAAACTGTGCAAATAGGCATTTTATGCAGCTGCCAGTGTGTAGAAAATTTGCAAACTGTAATCACAATATAAAAGAATAATACTTAAAGTGCATACCAATATTTTCTGACTGTGTACATTTTTAAAAATGTGGACCATTTAGGCATCTGCAACTCATTTATTTCCAAGTGGTTCAATTTTCACTTACTGTAAAACATGTTAATGCAGCTGGAAAGGCCAGCATTAAGTTTGTTGCTGGTGAGAGAAAAGCCTATTCACATCCTTCCTGGAAGCACTGAAATCTAGTTATTGCTAATTTCAGTGTCACAGCTCCTGCTAAGCAGACGGCTGTGAGAGCACCAGTGGGACTGGACCGATAGTCACCAGCCTCTCTGTGCAGCGGTATGATAGAATCTCTGTTGTCCCAAACTGTGTCTAGACATTTCGCAGTAGCCAGTGTGGAGGTGAGATGCCAGACTGGGAGAAGTAGTTCCACCACCAGGGCTTTTCCTGTCGCTCTATCCCTCCTTCACTTATGTCTGCCTCACTGTAGCGCTCAAATTGGTTGTAAGGGTCAAATCGATCCCATGTGTCTACTGTAGGAAAAAGGTGGTCATCAATATCAGGCTCCACAGGAACCTGGATGCAGGATGGAGGAGAGGGTCAAGAAGGTCAGATGTGATTAATTATCATAAAGTGAAATTTAAAAAAAAACATCTGAATAGCATGAAGACAAAGATCCAAACCTTCTTCAAGACAAAGTCAACACGCCCAGCCTTGTTCATGCTGTGAGGCAGGTGAACCCTTTTGCTGACCCTTGAGTAACCCTTGGCTGTGGCTACCAGAATATGAGTACCAGGGTTCAGTAGTCTCCATCTTCAGCTTAATGGACAGAAAGAGAGGGAGGAGTAGAACGAGAATGGGATGATACAGTCAACATGTCAGACAAATGAAAAACTAGTGACTCTGTGGGGCTGAACTGTGGTAGACTAAAGCACTGCTTTGAGCTAAATGCTATCATGCTAAATATTCAATGACAATACTGATGAAAACATGGCTATAATATAATGTTTACCATAATCAGCAACTGAGTTTAGTACTGTACATTAGCATGCTAACATTTGCTGATTAGAGCTAAATACAAAGTAAAATAAAATGTTTGACTTGATAATGGGGCTAGAGGAAAAGTTATCATTAGATGAATCAATCACAGTTTATTGTGTCTACCAAATTCTATGGTAATCTCATGGTCAGGGGATCACCAAGGTCATTAGGACTCATCCTCTGAGGACCATGAAGGTCTGTACAGACTTCTATGGCAATCTATCCAATAGCTGGCCTAGCTTGTTTCAAGACCAATTTGGTGGTGGTGGACCGGCCAACCAAGCTTGCCATCCCAGTAGCTGCTAGTGTGGCTAAAAGTAATCTAATATCCATAGTTAACTTTGTGAAAATATGCCCCAGAGCTACATCAGGACTCCACACTGCTACAATAAACATACAGCAATTAAAAATTAACAGCCAACATTAAGTCATATCAACAGGAAAATATGCAACTATGTAGGATTGTGTTTACCTGTTGTGACATCTTTCCTAATTCCCCTAACAGAGATAGTTGCACCTTTTATCCCATTTCCATCAACATCCTTAACTACTCCCTTTATTCCTCGGTGGACCTGTTCAGGGACAGAGCACAATGACAAGCCATATAATTTCCCTGCCTGCCCAGTAGTTTTGTCCTGGACAGAGTAATTATGCCATATACATGCAGTGAATATACTACTCTGTGCTTGTTAAGAACATTGTTTTTATCCTTTCTTTTATTAGAAACCTTAGTCTTAGTCTTGAGAAGCAAGTAATATTTACCACTTCCACTGTCAACTATTCATCTTCTAGTAACAGTTGAAAAATTACTACCAAAATATTTACATTTAGACACAGACTGGATGATTTTTCTCTTATCAATAAAGTCTTCCTTACAGACTCAAGGAAACTTAGCAGAGCTTCTTTATTCCTCTTCCACTCCGGGTAAAGCTCAGCCTCTGAGGGGAATTTGTCACAGCCAAGCTCCACGGTGATCTCTAGACAATTAGTGTGCAAGTAGTTGAAGTCTGACATGCCTGCAAAAGGAGAAACATATATGATGAGTCTGTCACAAGCAATGTGAGTGGTAGAAAAATACTGCATAGAGATGTGTCAGTAATTTGAAAAGTGTTGTGCCTCACCACCAGCAAAACTATACCACTGTGCTCCATTGATGATGCCCCTAGTTCGGTAAAAGGAGGCTCCACACCTCTCTGTGTCATTGTCTGACATGGTGGCATGGGTATCTGCATAGATACGAGCAATCTGCTTGAAGACCTGAGAATTGGGAGATGACAGACTAAGGTGGATACTAAGGACATACTGTATGACAATCCAACTGCTATATCTCTGTAGATTTGGTTCAAACAGAATTCCAACATGCCTACCCATCAATTTTATAAATCTGTCCTCCCTTCCTACCTGTTCATCTGGAGTGGGTGAGAACATCCTCTCCTCAATTGGGTCTCTAGATAAGTCAAAGGGATAGGAGATCACCAGTTCCCCTCCGTGGAGGCTGGCTGACTGAACAAAGGGCAGAGACCTGATCCACTTCATCACTGCATAGGTCTCTGGTGCCACCTACAGTCCAAAGATAGACATGGATTGTCTGGGGTCCAGCCTAAAACATCTAATGCAGGTCAGTTTTACTTACATTCTGATGAGAGAAAACTAATCCCCGCCCCACTTACCTTTCCAAACCAGTAGGCATCAGGAATTGGGATGTGGTCAATGCGGTAGTGCCTGCTGCGGCGGTTTCGGTACAAGATGGAGGTGAGGTCTGGAAAGTTGCGGTTCAGGTCAATGTTCTGAGCATTTGTCCGTCCATTGGTCCAGCCATTCAACAAGTGACCCTGAAACATTTAGGTTCAAACAGCTAGGAGTATTAGAACATATCAGAAGTTGTTAATGTATTTAGATTGATTTTAATGATGATATTAGTGGAAACAACGATTATGTGATGGAAGTACGAAGCAATTTATATGACTATTAGTGAGAAGTACAAGAAGGAACATGTTAGACTATTTAATTCTATTGTTAACATGTAGACAAGACCATATATCCGTCATGATAAGAAGTAGCAAATGAAGTGATAAGAAGAAGCCATTATTCACTAATATAAGGGATGAGCAGAAAATACATTTAATCTATGATTTATCCATCAAAATAAAAAATGTAAACATACAAGTATTTGTTGCCATATACTGTACAGTACAAATATGGCAACGGTTTGAGATGAATGTACTCTTTTACAGTGCCTTGCGAAAGTATTCGGCCCCCTTGAACTTTGCGACCTTTTGCCACATTTCAGGCTTCAAACATAAATATATAAAACTGTAATTTTTTGTGAAGAATCAACAACAAGTGGAACACAATCATGAAGTGGAACGAAATTTATTGGATATTTCAAACTTTTTTAACAAATAAAAAACTGAAAAATTGGGCGTGCAAAATTATTCAGCCCCTTTACTTTCAGTGCAGCAAACTCACTCCAGAAGTTCAGTGAGGATCTCTGAATGATCCAATGTTGACCTAAATGACAAAGGATGATAAATAGAATCCACCTGTGTGTAATCAAGTCTCCATATAAATGCACCTGCACTGTGATAGTCTCAGAGGTCCATTTAAAGCGCAGAGAGCATCATGAAGAACAAAGAACACACCAGGCAGGTCCGAGATACTGTTGTGGAGAAGTTTAAAGCCGGATTTGGATACAAAAAGATTTCCCAACCTTTAAACATCCCAAGGAGCACTGTGCAAGCGATAATATTGAAATGGAAGGAGTATCAGACCACTGCAAATCTACCAAGACCTGACCGTCCCTCTAAACTTTCAGCTCATACAAGGAGAAGACTAATCAGAGATGCAGCCAAGAGGCCCATGATCACTCTGGATGAAATGCAGAGATCTACAGCTGAGGTGGGAGACGCTGTCCATAGGACAACAATCAGTCGTATACTGCACAAATCTGGCCTTTATGGAAGAGTGGCAAGAAGAAAGCCATTTCTTAAAGATATCCATAAAAAGTGTCGTTTAAAGTTTGCCACAAGCCACCTGGGAGACACACCAAACATGTGGAAGAAGGTGCTCTGGTCAGATGAAACCAAAATCGAACTTTTTGGCAACAATGCAAAACATTATGTTTGGCGTAAAAGCAACACAGCTCATCACCCTGAACACACCATCCCCACTGTCAAACATGGTGGTGGCAGCATCATGGTTTGGGCCTGCTTTTCTTCAGCAGGGACAGGGAAGATGGTTAAAATTGATGGGAAGATGGATGGAGCCAAATACAGGACCATTCTGGAAGGAAACCTGATGGAGTCTGCAAAAGACCTGAGACTGGGACGGAGATTTGTCTTCCAACAAGACAATGATCCAAAACATAAAGCAAAATCTACAATGGAATGGTTCACAAATAAACATATCCAGGTGTTAGAATGGCCAAGTCAAAGTCCAGACCTGAATCCAATCGAGAATCTGTGGAAAGAACTGAAAACTGCTGTTCACAAACGCTCTCCATCCAACCTCACTGAGCTCGAGCTGTTTTGCAAGGAGGAATGGGCAAAAATTTCAGTCTCTCGATGTGCAAAACTGATAGAGACATACCCCAAGCGACTTACAGCTGTAATCGCAGCAAAAGGTGGCGCTACAAAGTATTAACTTAAGGGGGCTGAATAATTTTGCACGCCCAATTTTTCAGTTTTTTATTTGTTAAAAAAGTTTGAAATATCCAATAAATTTCGTTCCACTTCATGATTGTGTCCCACTTGTTGTTGATTCTTCACAAAAAATTACAGTTTTATATCTTTATGTTTGAAGCCTGAAATGTGGCAAAAGGTCACAAAGTTCAAGGGGGCCGAATACTTTCACAAGGCACTGTATATATTAAGTATGACTGAAAATTACAACTCATGCAATTCACAGTATATAAACAAATAGTACACAGTTGATTTACAATATGATCATATTAATAAAAGGTACAATATTCTGCACACTTTCATTAATGTGTCAACCTTGTATGAACTGTGAATCGCACAGGCCAGCGCAATCAGACAGTCTGCCAGAGTAAAACCCATGCACACTGTAACACTGTGGTTTCCACTGAACAATGTGGCCAGAGTACATTTTAGATTGCAAAGCTCTGCGCAGTGGGCCTCGCAATGTGACCTGCAAATGGCTGCTACATACATTTGAGCAAACATATGATCAGTCTACAGCATATATGCATGCCGAGCCCATTAGCTGCACAGTGACACGGCCTGAGGCATTAGTGAATAAATGCACAATATTGTGACCAGACGTTCTGTTAGTACTGTTATACTGCACATGGAAGGGATCAGTAGATGACACTGTAGAAGTCCAGTCTTTTCGGGCCTGTCACATTGCCCACAGAGAATAGATCTGGACAGTCTTACAGTATAATGCACAGTAGGATAAAGACAGGGCAGAGAGACTTCAGCAGATCAGTGGAGTGGTGATTAGTGTTGAATTCTCTGGTTAGTAAAATATTATGTGTAGAGTTTTCCCACCTCCAGAAATGCTACATAAGCATATCGTCAAGTGTTAAAAAGACTCAAATTAGAAATCAAAAATAAATAGATTATAATCAAGGCAAACATTTCTATCACAGACTAGTTGATGACTTTATGATTAATACTGTCTGGTAGTGGGAGGATCGGTCTTGGATTAGTAAGACTGTGCAGATAGAAATACAGACAGGCAGGCAGGAGGTGGAAATCTTAACTAGTCTGATTGCTTACCTCCATTTTTAGCAATTTTACCAGGATTAAGACATAAAAGTAGTTGAAGTAAAGTAGTATCTGAATAAAAAAATAATTACATTACCTTTTGAATAGTTACACCACAATTGTCTTGATCAGTTACTATAGATGGAGCAATAAGGCCATTGCATAACCTTTAGCATAAGATAGTAATGTTAATTTTCTTTTTTTTCCTGGATACTTTAAAATCAGTAGCTCACAAAACTCACTGCTACAACATTGTCAGAAGGTTGCTCCATGGCGTCCCACTTCACAACGCACAGACAACGTTGTAAAAAACTTCTGCATTAAGAATCTGAAGACGCCCTCTTTCCTCCACCTCCACACCCCAAACTGAGCAGACTAAACAGAAAGTGGACTGAGAACGGATAATGGCGGTTTGTCTTTTTTTGACTGTTAACAATATTTACTTCCTGGTGGCTGAGCTCCGGGTCATTTCTATCCTCTACCTCTGAGGCGGCCAACTCATAGCCATCGGGGTTCATGGAAGCCAGAATATGGATGCGGGTTGTGTTGATGATGGTCTGAATTCGCTGATTTTCCAGCATGTACTCTGAACATAGGTACTGGGCCAGGTAGATGAGCAGTTGGCGGCCCAGCACCTCGTTGCCATGCATGTTACCCACCAGCTTGATCTCTGGCTCCACTACAGTTCATAGACAGAAGCAAACATGATTAGAGCCGCATTAGGTGAATTTTATTTTTTTTTTTTTGGTTTTGGCCATTTGCGGAACAAGCTGTAAGCACAATGTTGACTAGTACCCATTTAGAAGGTTGTTGTGGTAAATGTGGCAGCGAAAGGTTGCTTATTTAAACATCACACAGAAACACGAATGTCTGAAGTCATGTTTTAGGTAAAATTGTAAAACTGAATCATTTCAAGGGCAACTAAATCATTTTTGGCTAAAAAAAAAAAGAGTGAATATTGGACTTGCATTCCCCAAATCACCAGATGTCCAATTCTAAACAGATGCTAATGTTGCTAATACTTTTTAATTGCTAGATTTGTAAATAAGCATCTGTTTGCTGACAATTTCAACAGGTCAGCTTATAGTGAACACTGTGTTCACAACTTGTTTCTGAAAAAAGGAAAATGAAGGGGACTAATTTGGCACAGGATCTGAGTTACTCAACAAGAGGGATTGAAAGTTACAAAATTAACGTAATTGCAAAGCTACACAAACCACAATACTTCACACAATTCTTTGTCAATGCAGTTTCTTACTCACATAACTCATGCTGCCCAGGGTTGTTGGTGAACTCAATAACCATTAGATCTCTGCCCTCGGTGCTGCGTCCGATGCTGTAGACATGAGAGATGTGGGAACACTTGGCTGCTGTTTTCTTCAGTAAGCTGTACATCTGGGCATTGGAGGTGTATGTGAACTGGATGATGGTGCTGGGTTCTTCAGGAGAGAGACTGGACATTTCCTGCTCCTGTCTGGCTGGAAGAGGGATACCAGGATTAAGGGATTAAGTGAAGGGCGCTAGGTTTGTTTCACAGATAACTAGTACAAAAACCAGTGTGACATTTACTTTTCAGCCCTGCTAGTGGGTCAAAGCAGCCCTCTTGGTCACCAGCAAAGAAGCGATCACAGTCCAGGAAGTAAGGCCAGGCCATTTCTATAGCTTCAAAGGCATGGGAACAGTCTTTCCTCAGTGCCTCACATGTGCTGCGACAGGGTTTGATCATCTTGTCATCTTTGCAGGGCGAGGCAAGTACCGAGCAGCCTACAAGACGGATCTCAGGGGAGCACTCCCCGTTGAGCAGGCCATGGATGACGCTGAGGAGAAGGTACTCTGCTCCTGATTCAGCCTCCAAACGACTTCGGTGTCCAAGGATGTTTGGGAATATGGTCCTAAAGCAGCAATGTTTTTAAAGTAGGATTCAAACATAACACTCACAATCAGATGTAAAAGATGTATAAGCAACTTTGAATTTAAAGCAGTAAGAAAGAATTACTTAAAACAAAGCTGACACTGATTTCCTCGCCCACATTAGAACCAACCTCTATGACCCACCTGGAATACTCCATATCATTACAGTAGCCCAGATTCAGCTCTGTGCAGGTTGCTGCAGGAGAGAGAAGGCAGAGAAAGCTGGTCACATAATTATTTTAAAAGGAGGTTTTTACTTAGCTGACAGTGCACAATTTTATTTTACTTCTCGCAGGTTTACCCCTGAACCTAGAATAATATTTAAACTCAAAATAGCTAAATGCTTTTAGGGCTTGTGCTGAAGATTTGTATCTGTATTAGATTTAAGAACAGTCATAGAAACACTATAATCTAGAATCTAAAACACAGCCAGACCTGACTGGTGTAGCACCACGCATTTCAAAATGGAAAAGTACAGTATGGGACATCTGAAGCTCTATAAATCCTGCTGCTCCACAGACTGAGCTGGGGTGTTACAGCACTCCTATGGGCAATTTAGAGACACCAGATCAAAGGGCAGACCTGTTGCATCTTGCAGCAGAACTTGGTATTTCAAACATTTTGGTTTCTCAGCCCTGAAGGTCAGGTCATGGTCTGAAAATCCAACTAAGTGCACACTCCTCTTTTTGTGTGATGACAGGCAGCTATAATCACATTTTGAAGGCCTACTTGTAAATGATTTATTGCGGCACATAATGTTAAACCATGTAAAATGAATCATCCACCTACGTTTTTCCTCGTATAAATTGTTGCTGCATCTTCCTGTGAAAGAGACCAAAAACAAACTTAAAAATTATGGAGGCATCACAAATGAAACGCTAAGTGGCGACATTTTCAAACGCTACAAAAGCAGCCCTGGCCTCTCCTGACTGTAATGACTGTTTATCATAAGGCTGGAGTGTGGTTTGGAAAAAAAACAACAGGTGACACCGTGTCTGCAACAATAAATCCCCGTCACTGCCTGAAAACAAAACCATCTATAGTGCAGAACTTAACTGTAGATAAGCTGTGATGAACTGAAGAATAGAATAAAAACTTTAAAGAATAAAACCGCTAAAACTGTCTATTTTCAGCATTTGCATTAAATTATATGAGCCTGCATTTGGGCTCTATCAGCTGTTTTCTACTGATCAGGACCATCACAGGTTTCCGTTTAAACGCCCGTATTGCTCATGTAAGTGGGCAATCTGAACTTCTGTTTCATGCACGTCGGCCATCGTGCATTGTAGCTTAGGGTACAACCGATTGTTTTAGGTTGACGCGACCTTACCTAAAAGCTCGTCTTCGGACTGACAACTCTTCTGCGGGGCGCACCAACAGCTTTTTGTCAAGAAAAGAAGCAGCACCAAAAGTCCTAGATGCATGTTGTAGTGGAGTAACCTGCTTGGCCAAGGCGCGGTGTGATGTGGCAGTGTGTCTGAGAAGCTCTAACTTCTACGTTCCTAAGGCTGGGTCGTAATTACCACCCACAGCAAGGAAACCTCCTTCCTTTGTCTGCGTGGAGCATCCCTGACCCGAAAAAAAGCGCGAACAAAGGTTCACTACGAGCGCCGATCGTATTTCACTACCTAGAGCCCTGTGTGTGTGCGCGTGTGCACACGAGGAAGAAAGGTGGCTGGTGGGGTTGGAAGTGAAGGAAATCCATGCACCAATTAAAGACAAGCATAGATCTCTGCACCGTTAGTGTGTGTTGCTGCGTTTCCACAGCCGCAACCTAAGGAGCAGCGTACTTCCCTTAACCATCACTAAGCATGGCCCCCAGGGTTGACGAGGACCGTCCTGCTTTGGTTTTCCACTGTATGTAATCTCTCTCGTCCCTGTTTAAAGGAGGGGGGGGCTGGTCTTCTAACACACTTGCAGTCACCTGTGTGTTTACGCATGGTGCTTGTAATGCCAATGTTTGAGGTGTGAGGACATTTAACCAATCACCGGCGACAGCTGTGCAGGCTCACACAGTGGGTCCAACATAATGACCCATCTGAGGGGTGAACTGGCAAATGGAATACTAAAGAAACCATTTTTAATTGTTGAATTGTGTTTATATGTTTAGGCTATTGCTTATTTGTTTGTCCTGCCTTGACTTTCTGATTCCCATATTTGACCTTTTCAGTTGAGACAAATTTGTTGTTCAAACTAAAATCATGTGACTTGAGGTCACAGCCCAATACTTTAATATGAGCTTCAAAACAATCATCAGTCAATATTTTTCCAGTTTTTCACTGAAACAGTAAAACCACGTCCTGACAAATGTAAGGTTACTTCAAACATACATTGACAGTGATTATAATAATAAACATAATGTTGTCAGTTTTACTTGGTGTATCCTTGGCAGTGCCTCAGAAGGCAAACTGACAAGCCCTGTGGAAAAGACCTCTGGCCACAGGCCAGTAAGGTTTCAGTAAGCATACATTGTTTTGTTTCCTCCACAGTTTTCCCAGTTGGACAACATTGTGGCTTAACCAGTCCATGGTCCAGCCCTCTGTTAAAGTGTCCTTGACTCTTTTCCATCTGCAGGACAGCAGTTCTTCAAAGACCCTGCCCTCTGACCTTCCTGCAGAAGTAATGCAGGTTAATCATTTAAAAACTAGCACAGTGACCTCAGGTGATCCTGGCAATACAGTTACCATCTGTGGTGTCCAGTGTGTTGTTCGTGCTGTCAGAACCCGACTGATGACACTGACCAGGACCTTCTTGTACTGATGCCACAAAAGACAGTAGATGAACAGGTCACTAAAAGCTTTGGCATAGGACAGACATTTAGTGGCGATGCCCCAGTACTGGGAGACATGCACAGAGAGCAACAACTCTACCAGCCTATAGGAGGAATGCAAGCAGAAAAAGTGAATCCTGTTGGCCCAGATCTACTGAACATGAAAGCTCATTTCCAAGTCAACAAAGAACACTGTAGACTTTCCACAGTTATGAGATAACGAGTCATAATTATGTGAGACAATCTCATACTTTCCTATGATTGTAGAAGTACACTTAGCTAAAAACAAAGGTGTAAAAAGTGGTGCAGTGGAGCTCTATGAGGCTGTCCGCCCAAGAAGAACACCAGCATGTGACGTGAAGTTTACATTCAAGTAGCAAAGCTTTGTGGACTTGAACATGGAAGAATGCTGACAATCAACAAAGTGTTTTTAAACTAAATCAAAGATTGCTCCCTAACCATGTCCATGTGCTTATTACTTTAACAAGGACAACAATGATCCCATAACCTTAACAAAGTAGTCATTTTATGATGCTGTCATATCATAAACCGTTTTTTAACAGTGATTTGTGACAGTTTTGGGAAGCACATACAAATGATGGCATGTCAGTTTACAGAGAGCGTGCACAAACTATATATTTTGTCATTAAATTTAGTTTTTGTTGTCATTTGCTTTTCAGCTAGTGCAAAATGGCTTCCGTGTTTGACATTAAGTGTTTGTATTAGACGCCTTTATTATCTGTTATTGCATGTGTTAAATTTTTAAAAAGTGGTTCAGTCTAATTCAATCCATTTCAAGAAAAATTACTTTATTAAAGATCATTATGTTGAAGTTTTGTCTTGGACAGATATTGATTCCAATTTAGACTTTGGGGCTATAGGGTAGTTAGTTGCATTTTTTTTTACAGAATATAATAAGATTACATCACCCTTGTCTCCAGTTTATCAAAAGTCATTCCCCAATAATAAGCAATGTATGTAAAAGCATGGTCAGTTTAAACCCATTAGTATATTACAGACAAATGTTCTCTAAGAACATGTCAAAGCATTCTGAAGACAAACAAGTCGCCCATAAAAACAAACAGTGAACTATAGAGCAGGGCATTACCTTGTTATAGCATAGGGTGAAAAGCAGAGGATGAAGGACCCAATGAAAATGCAAATCTTTGTAGTAGCGGCAATGCCTCCTCTTCTTCTGTTCAACTAGACATCTCTCCTTCACACTGACAGTCACAGTCCACAGATTAATTATCCTCTGACATGACAGCTAATATAGGCTATTAAAACATAGATAATTAGTATTACAACAGGCTTATTTAAAAATAAATCAAGACTTTTCTCTAACAAGTCAAACTGCAATGGAAACACATAGAAACCTGCCCTATTGTTGAGGTTTTCCAGAAACAAACATTAAGGGACAAAAACTTTTATAATGTTGTACCCGGTACTTTTTACCATACGGACTCTGAGAGACGAGGCAGTCCAAGTAACTTCAATACAGTGCTGATTTATTCCATGAACGCAGGTAAAAAATTAACATTACACGCTCAGGTATCTTGCACCTCCAAACTGTTCGCAGGCAGACGTAAGATGAAAAGACCCCAAACCCAACAGGCCTATACATTATATCTGTTTTGGGCTAACCCCATTCTACACAGGGACGTCAAACTGTGACGTCTCTGGTGCCAGCCGTGCAGCTGGCCATAGCAATAGTCAAAACATGAAGAAAATCAATGTGTGTGTGTGTGTTGATTAAGTGGTGTGTATCTAAAAACATTCTGACAGGACTTTCAGTGACATGTCCTGACATTAGGCATAAGAAGATATTATGATTATGATTAAACACGTCATACAGTAATCAACTCTCTATCTAGTTATCCTTGACTATAAACTACCTGGAGTAACTCATGAAAATGAGTAAGCATTTAACAGCCTGAGCTAGACATCCTGTCTACACTAAAAACATTTCTAATACAACAAGTACCTAACCAATATCTATCTGACTAAAAATACCTAACAATAACCAGTACACTACCTGGGATGAATATCAACCAGAAGCAGAGTCTGAACTGTGATGACATCTATTCTCCTGCAGTGGAAAACATTCAGGTAAGCGAAGCACAGGACAACGAGGCAAAGCACGAAGCTACCCAGGTGGAAGAGCACCGTGAAGGTCGCGTATGGTGCCAGCTGCGACCTCTTCTTCCCCTCCAGGTGAACGGTACATGAGGGGTAAATGTCGCTGTATTCCCCCTAGCCCATCAGCAGCTGGGTCAGAGAAATGGTAAGCGAGTGCAGCCAGGAGCACGCCAAGATCAGGCGTCCCTGTGGCGCATCTTGCTGGAGTAACTCAAGGGGAACACCACTATCCATCTGTCCATGCTCGAACGTTAGTGGTGAGAAAAGTCTCAGACAAACTGGCAGCTTGACAAAACAAGTCCCCGAAGGGCTTTGCGCTTGTGGCCACCCTGAGAAAAGTGGCGGGTATGTTGATAATAGTGAGGAGGATGTTGGAGAAAGAGAGGTTTAGGATGAGGACCCCGGGAACATGGGACCTCAGCTCAGTGCTTTGCGTGAAACATAGTAGCACTGACAAGTTTGTTAACAACGAGACAACAACTCACCACAATGGACACTTCCAGTAGGAAATCCGGTATGCCCATCTCTCAAGGGCTTGGCTTTAGCAGCAGTAGTGAGGAGGATGCTGCGGGGAGCGCGCCATGCTCTCTGCTCGTGCCCTCCACCAGATGCTGACGGTCAGTCTCCCGGGGCCCATGCCAAAGACGCGCTTGTGAGCATGGAACACGCGGAGAGAGCTGTCCAGTGTGCTGAAATGCCAGTCAGTGATATCAACTTTCTTTTCTGGGCTACACAACAACTAAATTACAGCAGGTGTTCTTTCTTCCAGTGCACAGCTACTGGTCTATAGTAACCGTTGTTTAGTGCAAAGAGAAAAGCTGTGGAAATGATAATTTCAGGTTACCAAGTGCTTTCTCTATTTACTCTCGATCATGCGCACTATCCAGTGCCTCCTCGCTCCCTGCAAAGCCTTGCGCTCTGCACGTGCAGTCGGTAACTGACTCATGTGACGCTTGAACAAAATTCATTCAAGCAGTGGATGATATCAGAGAGGATGGTGTCCCGGAGTTTGTACATAATTTCCTGTTTTTACCACAAAATACGCGCTATGTTTTGCGTAGATGAACAATTTAATTGCTGTAATTTGTGTGTGTGGTCCTGCGTAAAATTAGAGGAATATGATTTATGTGTGTTTGCATTTGGGTGCGAGCAAGATTTACTTTGTATCCTTTCTTTGAGATGCAGTAGCCTACATATTTCCTTTATTCGCCTTCCCATGGATCAACCTGGGCACTTAAGCTGCCACCGCAGTGACAGTTCATCACTCTTTGAATTTCATATTCTTTAGCTGTTTTGTGTTGATCTCTCCTCAAATACCTGCAAGGAACAATTTGCAACAGCATGTTCATTTAAAGATACTTTGTGAAAATACTGTGTCAGGCATGCACTGAAGCCAGAGGGATGGAACCTGCAGCTGACAGGAAAAATTAATTAAAGGTACTGAAGGACATGTGCAGAACAAATGGATAAAAAAAATAATGATGATGTCTATTTCAGGGACTGGCGTATTTTATACATCTTCTGAAAGTTAGGGGATTTTTATGATAATAATAATATGGAAAAGCTTAGATATATGGTTTTAACAAGATGGTGGGAAATAATTCATCAGTATTTTTATTTTTATGTTACAAAACGCAGATGCAGATGATGATAGTGGCAGGTGGCATTTATGTTACTGAGGAGGAAGAGGTGTGTCGGGCAGGTCCCACTCCGGTACTTCAGATTTAATATCTCCATTTTCCAGAAGAGGACAATGAGCTCAGAGGTGCTGACTCTCATCTCAACCACTCCACTCAGCTGCAAACTGCCCCAGTGCATCCTGGGGGTCACAGTCTGATGAAGCTAACAGAACCGCATCATCTACAAAAAGCAGAGAAATGATTCTGCGGTCTACAAACTGGACACACTCTGAGTTTTTGCACCTCCAACCACCCTTGTGGCTCACTGGCATCCCTCTGCTGCCACAGTGGAGGATTTGAACATGACCCACTCAGATTTCATTCCCCTAACCTGTCCCAGGATGTATGAGAAACTCATCTGGAGGGGGGCGTTAAAGACTTTCAGCCAGACATTACCAGCTCACTCTCACTACATGTTTGGGTTTACTAGGTCTGTCTGGCAGTCTCCCCCACCATCCCCATTCAACCAACTGTCA